AATGGATCTGCTTCAAAATGCTCAAAGATGACAAAATTTAAGGGCACGCTTATGGTCACAGAGAAAATGTGAATTATGTCTTTTCATTAGAAAATGTGATTCAGTATATGTAGAGGGCAGTTTGCAGCAACGTGGTGCTGCAGCGTTGAATAAGGCAACCTGATTAGTTTAAGGGAAACAGTATTGACTTTTTCCAAGTCATAAATTGGATCGAAAGGCACTCTAAAATAATGAAAGCTGGGACAAAACATTTGATTTTACTACAAAAATGTGTCTTTAAACACTTGATAGAGTGCACTTGGCATTTATTTTTTTATTTTTAAGGACTTGTTTTGTTTTTCTAAAAACACAGTGGCTTAATGCTTAGTTTCCTGATTGAAACCAACTGACTTCAGTGTAAGTGTTTTATTTACATATTGCAGATTCTCTCTTAAAATCAGGGTTGACTCACTTCCAGCGAGCGGAAATGAACAATTATGTTTCCATGCACTGGTGAAGCATATCTGAAGCATTCTTTTAAGAAAAAGTCAAAAACAGCCAATTAAGTAGTTGGCCAACAACCTCCTGAAGACAATTACGGGTCAACTTTAATTTGGAGACACGATTATCATAACTATAGAAATGTTTTGGCAAAGAAATAAAAACAAACATAGCAGATTTATTTATACCCACCCGAGTAGGAAGGGAATTCTTCTCTCTAGGAATTTCATCTTTCTCTTTGGATTTATAGGATCTTATGTCATGTCTTGGAAGACTTTGTCCAACCACGTGAGCCTACTATCACAGTTGCTTCAAGTGTCATACAACATGGGTGAAGAAAAACAGAGCACAAATATTTTCTAGTGACCCTTTGTTGAGCTGGTATAAACCAGATTAATACATGTAGTTCAATCTGAATTCTACAAGGTATTAATCTGGAGAGCCTCCTGTAGAAAGTGTTTGCAAAAGGGAGGGACTTTCAGTACAATTCTTTGAGCTGATTGGACCAACTGGAACCTGCCTCCTTTGTCAACCTTTTATCCAATCAGAGCAGAAGCTGTGATGTATTAGTTTCTTGGTTTGTTTCAGAACCAGAAGAGTAAACTGATCAATCAATCTGGTTGTGAGGAACAAACATGTCAACCCATCCACAAAGGCCCAAATCACCCAAACAGACAATCTTCTGGTACATCCAGTAGCACAGCCATGTTTGTCTAGCTTCAGCCTGGTGCTTCTTGTTGACGTCGTACATGTCACTACATTTCAGTGGTTCGAAACATTTCTGTATTCAAGGCTTATGCATCTATTGGCTTCTGGCAAGGTCTATTTTCGGGAGTTTGTGAATTCACACATTTTACGACGATTCATCTTTTATCAATTCCTCAAATTTTAGGTCCACCCGAAAATTAAGAAGTGACTCATGTTAGTCTGATTTCTGAAACATGCACAACTAAAATGGTTAAGGCTTAAATGCTTAACTGCTTGATGCCTTTACATGCTTAAAACAGTAGGAGTTTGTAGATTTAAGAGATTATGGAATTGGGATAAAAACTGGATTTTTTCAGCTCTTTACCACCAATCAGGAATGAAAAGCTTAACCTCAACTGGTCAACTAATTTGACAAGTAAAAGTTTTATGGATTTTTGTTGTTTGACCATATGTTTTTTTATTTAATTTGTATTTTTGTAACATTGGGTTATGGCGAGAAGTTGCACTTTCCTGACCCAGTGCCAACAGTAGGGAGAAGCACAGAATGGGTGTGCATATGCAGAGTCATGTTAGTTTCCTGCTCTTTGTGCCTCACTTCAACTTTTGTATGCACAGTTTCACACGCGCATAGAAAACAATGTTGCCCTGAATGACCTGTTTTCCAGCTTCTCCGTAGAGTTTTCTGCATCTGAAGCATCCAAAAGGCTCAACGCTCTAAATGTGGGCAGAAAGGATGAGAACACTCGCTTTTTTTATTTCCACTGGACAGAGAATGCTTATTTGCCTTGTCAGTGCAGAAGATTGCAGACTAAGAGTTGACTGTTGCTCTCAGCATTTACCTAATTGGCTGCCTGTTATTTGCAGAGTTGTGGGAAATTGCCCCCAGTCTGAGCATCTGTGGCACAAGCACTTAAAAAACAACATCTTTCTTCTCCTGCAATGCTGATTAATTAGAATTGGGATTGATTTTAAACACAGTCTTAAAAACTGTGTCTCAAGTCCTTCGATTCATTCCGTGTTTTTCCTTTTCTGGCTTGAGTGATACAAGATAACCGATTTCTTGCTCAAATTATCTCTTTTCTCAATTGTTTGCTATTTTTCTCGGAGCCAAATTATAGTGTTCTCTGCTGATCATCTCCTGTCCGTCTTACCAAGTTTTGGAATGTTCTGGTTGCCTGAGTCGTGCTGCACAACCCCACAATCATGTTTCCAGAAAGAGAAATTGACCAACTGCTATGCAATTATTGTCCAGAAGCATCGTTGTCACTTCTGATTATAAAGTCCAAGTACAGTTGTACATTGTGGTTTCCTTCGATAATGAGAGAAGTTTATGGGATGACGTCGCAGTAGGTCGTAAGGTATGAAGTGTGAAGGGTGAGTGTCAAACTGCCTCAGGAAGAAAACAGGGTTTTGTTTTGGTCGTCCTTAACAGGCGGGTGAAAGGCACCAGTTCTGTCCTGGTTTCTATTGTCCATTATTCTTTAGTCAGACATTCCAGTAGATGTCACGGGAATTAGCCTCTGGGAGTTCAGGCTTACATGCCCCATGTTATTAAAAATAAGTAACCTCTTTTACACGAATTGTTCTCAAGGTGAAAAGTTCATTCACCGATTTAGGGGAAATGGAATCAACGGCTGTATTTTTTAATAGAAAGCTGGGAACTTAAAAATCAAAGACCTCGTATATTGAACATTTCTTCCTTCCTACATTCAATCACTATGTAACACTTATTTTGTTAAATGTTTCTAGAGTTACACAGGGTCAAGATTTCTCTTTGGACCTCCAACCTTTGAACTCTGCCGCTGCGTTAATAAAGAGCTGAGGTCAGAGAGCGGGGCTTAGGCTCGGCCACAGGAGGAATCATAGAAAGAGGCCTGCGTTATTAAAATTCAGAAACACAATTTAAACCGCTTAACATATTTACTTGCAGTCATCATCAGTGTTTGCAATATTACCTTCTCAAAGTATTACAATGGGTACTAAATTACAAGTGTTGGGTTATTGCTCTTATTTTGACCAGTTGGTTGAACTCTAACTGACCTTTTGGCCAAAATTTGATGGACATGTTTTTTGGCCATGATGCTTTAACTCGCCAAGAGTAGTGAGGCCCTGTTCACAGTTTTTCTGGCCAACACTGAAAACACTTTAGGACGCATTTTATTGAGTAGCTCAAGTTTTGACTGCTCCAAATCTCCTTAAAGCCAAAACTAAATTTTATTTATTTTTTTTATTCAGCAGTGGTCTTGTAAAATTACTAAAATCCTAGAAGTCAAATACTCTAGTTAATACTTCTTGGTAATATGCACCATAATCCATGGACACCATGCTATTTTGTTTAGTAAGGGCATTGTTAGCAAGACTTGATGAAACTTTAAGTGTCGGCCTATGAAGTACTTCTTGTCTTACTTCTTAATAAAACTTCTTATTCACTAAAGTTAGCAGGTTAGTATGTTTTTTTACACACAAGTGGACCTGCTAACAATCTGCATTTGGCTACCTTCCCATTACCAAGAAAGCTGGGTCTAACCCTAGCTGGAAAACTGCAGGGCCTCTGTCCCCCCACCGCTGTGTGTCTGGTGACGCCATCATGACTAAAAGTTGATAATGTCACCAGTGTGGCAGCAATCAGGATAGTAAACAATGGAGAGCATGGAAGGGAGCCATGGCCTAGTCCATGGTCTTTATTGCTCGGCTCTTTTGTTCGTCCAGTCCATTGTACCAGTGCTGCGCCATTTTTAACGAATGGAAGCAGAGTTGTTTTGGCTTGTTAGATCAGACATGACTGGCGCAATATGCTGAAGTCCTTACCTTAATGGTTTTAACGTAAATTAGTGCGTCGACCTGGGTCAGATTTACTCACTGTATGCCAATCGGAGCTGAGCTCTAAACCAAGACGCTTGCTGAGTCGTTTGACCTAGGTCGACGCGGGACAGTGAGCTGTTCCCACTCAAACTAAACGTTTTTTTGGCACCAACAGCAACCGGAATGGACAGATTTGAGTTTAATGTGAAATGTTACTAAGTTAGAATAATTTCCCACTAAATTCATCAAATGTAATCTGACATTCGTACACTAATATTTGTTTCTTCATTCTATTAAATCGGCTATCAAAAGCATCCATTTGCGGCTGCAAATTGAAGTGTTGTAAGGTTACGCTTTCTTGATATACGAGTGTTGATGAAAAAAACTGAGGCTCCATCTCATATCCCTCAGCATAAAAGTAAAAGAAAGCAGTAAAGGGACTGAGAGTTAGCTTTATCTCAGGGTGATGTTACATTCAGGTTGCTGATTTTGTTCTCTGTGCAGGTAGTGCCCACGTACAGCTGGTTTTAACTAGGACACGCTGCTCGGCCCCCAGCTGATGGCACAGGCCAAGCTAATTATAGGCTCATATTGTGAGAGAGATACTTAGAGCACTTTGAAACCCATCACGTTTGTTCTCCCCTGAGTTTTTATATTGTCAACAAGAGGTTTTCTGCTCTTCAGGGGGAACCTTACTGCTGCAGAAATGAGTCCCAAACAGGGCACAATACTTTCATTTTAAAATAATGAAGATTATAACAATTCTCAATAAATAAAATAATCTGCTGTTTTTATTTTAATTTTGATATTTAACCTTCTGCCTCTGCACTCCAAATCCCTGACCCTGGCTTTGCTTTCACCTTTTGGTTTCCAAAAAAAAAAAAAAAATTAGAAAGTATAATCAGATTTTGGTTCACCATTGCACCCCTTAGGGATATACTTAAGGAGTAGACGTGTATAGATAAGCCTACTGATGCTAACCTTTCATCTTCTCTTTTATCTCCTTCCAGTTCCAGACGATCTCACCCCGGAGGAGCAGCAGGAGCTGGAGAATATCCGCCGGCGAAAGCAGGAGCTGCTAGAGGACATTCAGGTAATGGGGAAGAAACAGGCAGTTTTAATAGCATGGGTGTAATAAATATATTGTTAGAAAATGAATGAAATGCATTTTGGATTGCTTTAACCCAACATAAATAGTGAAATTCTTTGCCTAAGTTGTTTTTGTGTTTTGGGGTCAGAAGCTGTTGCTTATTTATTTCCCAGTTATCTTCTGCAATCCTTGTGGAATTTGAGGTATTTCCTACCAATAGGTCAATTCCTTTGAAACTGTTCCCTCCTCACTGCTCACTGGTTTTTCTTCCTTAGGTGTCCTACAACAACAGAACAAGATGTTTTTAGGTGTATATTTGAGTCTTATTTAGCACTTAAATCCACATGTGGGGTCAAAATTGACCCTGTGTGTTATAATTCTTTATAAAACATTCATATTCTGTTCGTTCTCCAGACAAAGGGAGAAAAAACATGTTTTGACTTCTGATCGTACGGATTGATCGATCAAATGCTATAATCTGAATGGCTTGTAAAAATAGGTAGATGTCAAAAATGAAATTCCTCTTTTGTATCATCCTAACCAAAATGATAGAATTGTCTTTAGTTTATTGCAAAAGGACAACAATTCTAATTGGTGTGATTTTTGACCCTACTGGTGGAAGAGTGTAGATATTGGTAGGTTTTGCATCCAAAGGTTAAAACTGGTTTAAATTTAAAGTGGATGTTAGTAAAATAAGAAAATGAGTGTCTGAGTGAAGGCAGGGAAGTGGTCAGGGGAATGTTTGTGTATTCAAATTAGTTTTGAGTTTCCATAGAAGACATTTATTTGATTCCTGTCATGACCCGTTCACAGCTGATTATTCTAGATTGCAGCTCAGGTTAGTCCTGTCACTCAGTAACACGTAGTAGTGAGTGAATATCCCCCCCAGGGGATAGACGTAGGGTGAGTTGACTTCTGCTGACCCCTGTGGGCTTTGGAGGTGGGCTCCATTACTTCATTTTTACGAGTCTGGGACACTGATGCTGCCCTTCCCCCTCCTCCCTTTCGCACCACCAGTGTTGCTTCTGTTCCTCCACCCTCCTCACCCCCTCAGTTGTCTGACCCCACTCCCCTTTTGTGACTCCCTTCTCTCTGCTACTCCTGAGTGTCAACCCACCACAGTCCCTGTCTTTTTTTTTTTTTTTTCTGTATGAGGTCTTTGTTTTGGACGAGAAGCATCTGAGGAATGTATTGTGATTGCACTGGCTTGAAAACACAGATGTGTCTTTTGTGGTTTATCTTTGCTAAGTTAGTTTTGTCCACATTGAATGATATGCTATCACTGAAGCTGGGTATGAATGAAGCTGCTCCGTGAATGGGAATTCTGGATTCAGCATTCAGACAACAAAAGTTTTGTATTTCATAACAAAAGGCAAGTGTTTCCTTAAAAACTAAGAATGTCCATTTTTGTTTTCTCATATAAAGCAAATGTTTCAGAAATCACAAACTGTATCTGTAAAGTATCTAAAGTATGTAAAGTGTCTAATCCCTGTATTGTTTATTTTAGTTTGTGGTTTACTAGATTGTGATTATTATTATTCTGTATATCAAATGGGATTCTTTGTTTCCAAGTTTGAAGACATTTCACTTTTTAATTGAAAAAAGCTTCCTGGATTGGAAGCGAAATGTCTTCAAACTTGGAAACAAAGTCCAGTGGATTGTTTTTTAACTTTTTGGGAATTTGGAAAAAAGATTCTTGAAAAAAATAGAAGCTCAAAGCATAAACATAAACTCCATTGTGGTGGCCTTCCTCCTGTTCAACCATCCATCTATTTTCTTACACCCTTATCCCAAGTGGGGTTGCAAGGTGCCTATCTCCAGCTGTCTACTGGCGAGAGACGGGGTACATCCTGGACAGGTCGATGGACAGGTCGCCAGTCCATCACAAATAACCTAACATGTCATGTTTTTGGACTGTGGGAGGAAGATGGAGTACTCAGAGAGAACCCACACATGCTCAGGGAGAACATTCAAACTCCATGCAGAAAGACCCCGGGCCGGGAAATGAACCCAGAACTTTCTTGCTACACACTGCGACACTGAGCAGTCCTTTCCTGTTAAACCATGATTTTCATTTGCTACAATGATTGGCTAAAACTGAACTTCGGTAGGCGGGCAGCAGATGTCTCTTCAACCAATCAGCTCTGCTGTATGTTCCTCCACTCTCCGAATAATGATGGGAACAGATTCAGATGATAATGTGAAGGTCTAACTTAAAAGTTCTACACAGTCAGTCTGGGACACCAGGTTAAATAAATCTTGGTCTGTTCAATGAGAGCAATGATCGTCAAGAAAGTCAAATGTGAAAGCAAACAATGTAAAAAAAATGTTTTGGTTTGGACCAAACTTTCCTGGTGTAAATACACCATTACAACCAACAGGTCTGAGAGACCTCACCACATTTACTACACGTACTACTTACCCCATGTACCGCAAATGTTGGAGAAGAATCCGCCACTGTTCCGCCTCCAGCCGTCGTCTTCACTTATGGATGAAGAGCTGTCAGTCAAATGTGTCCTGATGCTACTTCCTGTGTGATTGTGTCTGCAAGGCCCAATCAGGAGGAGGCTTACAGTTTGTCTCCGCCCATCCTGTCAAAACACCTTTTTCTTCACATGAGGAGAAAATCAGTCCGAAGGCAGAGATACTTTTGAGCCGTCCTCGAGCGTGGCCGCTGGATAGAAAATTGTGCGTGGTGAGATCCCGAGCGCACGTGGGAAGAGCTGACGCACGCTGAGAGACATTTTCTCCTCTCAAAGCAGCAGTTTCTCACGCATGTGTGATTTTGTTGTGCGGTGGTAGATAAAACCATACGCAGAAGCAGCTTAACATACATGTGAGTATGTTCACTTTGCTCGCGGGCATTTTGAAATTAAAGTGATGCCATACTGTCACCCCTACCATCAAGCTGGAGCCACCTACAGCATTTTATCTTCAGATCCCTGAGCTCTACTGAGAAGATAACTTTGTAGGAGGTCAGAAAAGAAGGTAGCAGAAGATGGCCAAAAAAACTGTAAAAATTTAATTCAAGTTGTTTCTCCATATGGGGACTGCAGTAAGCCATACTGACAGCAACAGGAACTGAACAGACTTCAGTTTTTCATCATCTTGAGTCCTTTTATGCACATCATCTTATATCAACCCCAATAGATAATACTGGATCTCTTAAATGATCCACATTTTACACTAGCTCTCCTACATTCTAGTATTCCATCTCTATATCAAGCTGACACCAACCCCCTCATCTTCATAACCTCATCATCTTCTTATGACCATTATGCCCGTCTGGCTCCAACAACATCGACTTGATCGACAAAGACATCCTCTATAGCCATCAGTAGAGTGCATCATAAGACACCATCCACTTACACATTGTTTCAAGTCAGCATATGTTGAGGTTTTTTGCCTTTTCAGCTCTTTTTCAGGACAACTGGGAAAGCATTGATCTTTTTTTCCTTACAGATTATTAGTTTGTTGTTCTGTTTTCCTAACACCCTGTAATATTGATGGAAAGAGGACCTGCAGTGTTTTAAAATTTCTGTTTGTTTTTCTTTGCAGCGGCTGAAGGATGAGATAGCAGTAGTGACGAGCGAGATCGAGAACCTTGGTTCCACTGAGGAGAGGTAAAAAAAAAACTGTGGACCCAACTCTTCCCTTTCTGTTTTGCCTAAGCTGGCTCATTGCATCCCTTCTATTAAGTTAGCAAAATGAAGCTGTCAATTATTCATGTTTGATGGCTAAGTCGGGTTTTCCATCACACTTAATGTCCGTCATAAATTGGCTTTGCTTTTAAGGCAGTTTAAATGTTTCATCAGCCACGCCCCCCATGATGGGAGGCCCCATTGAATAATGCAGTGGGTGTACTGGCAGAAGCAGACAATAGATGGTCCCTGAAGGAGAGCTTGAGATCTGCGTCTACTTAGGCGGATCAGCATCCTATCAGCTATGAAAATATCATCTAACCATTTTTTCACTTGCATTAGGAACCCACTGAGGATCCAAGAATATTCTCATGGTTTGAGTTGCATGTGTTGGAAAAACAACATCTCTCATCACTGCTGACAAACCAAATTGAACATTTATTTCTCTGAAAAGAGGTGGTGACATCCCATCAGCCGAGAACTGAGGTGCACTTTGACCTCTGAATTATTCAAAGCCTGAGAAATGAGACATTCCCATATGCAGCTCAACCTTTTAACATCTTACTTGTCCGGCACAGCATCACCAGCCTCTGCCAAAAAGAAAAAAAATGTCAGGGAGAAAGACACTCCAAGCCGAATAAATTCACCACGGCTCCCTGCTGATTTATTGAACGAGAACCAGACCAAAGGAATTTATTGAAGTAATTTGACTTGTTTGACTGATAAGCAGCCAAAGTTTGTGAGGAATATTTAAAGCTTTATTATTTTAGTTAAAGAAAAACTCATCTCTGTAATACATAATCTTGTATTAATTCCAAAATCAGCTAATGATACTCGATTTTGACTTTCCAGGAAAAATATGCAGAGGAACAAACAGGTGGCCATGGGCCGAAAGAAGTTTAACATGGACCCCAAAAAGGTTTGTAGCTGCAATAAAACATTGTGGTTTTTGTTCCACCTGTTTAGACGTGCAGGGTTTTAATTTGGAGGTCTGATCTCTTATTCAGGGGATCCAGTTCCTGATTGAGAATGACTTGCTGAAGAACACCAAGGATAACATCGCTCAGTTCCTCTACAAAGGCGAGGGCCTTAACAAAACAGCCATCGGCGATTACCTCGGGGAAAGGTCAGCGAGGCACTTCCTTTCCGCTTCTCGCTCTTTTGCTTTTCATCCCTCTTTACTAGCAACCATCCATCGGGTGATGGAGCCATTTCATTCAGAGAGCGTAGTTTTCCTGTTGCTTTTTTAATGCTTTATCAGGCCCACGCCCATTCCTTCCCAAACACTAGATATTGGTTCCACAGTTATAGCCTCATCTGAAGAGAATGTCTCCTACTCAACAGCCTTCATATGTCTTACATTAGCACTCTCATTCATAAGTGAACTGACCAAGACACTAAGAACTTAGGAATGCATGTTTAAAGCTGAAGGATTTCACTGGATATGTAGATATGATCAGAAAAGCCTGAGCTTAATATCCAGTCTGGAGTTCTCTGGGACTGTTTAGTGTTAAGAAATCCCTTTGTGGGGTTTTTAACGAGTACATTTCTTTGTTTTGGTTTCTTTATTTCCTGCAGGGTTCTTGAGATTCTAGTGGTCATTTGTCCAAAGTGACGACTGGATATGATGCTTAGCTCCTTAGAGCCTCTCCGTCATCCCAAAGGAGAGATCATTTACTCTGAAGGACTTTTAGGGCGGGATGAGCTCATGATCTAGTTTAGATAAGTAGACAGGGGTGGGGATATGTATCCCCCCTGTTGGATTAGGGGTGTATCACTTGAAATACTAATGTTTTAAACCAGAAACACACAAAAGAAGTCATTACGTGCAACTTTTTAGGTTCTCTCTGAATCTTATTTCTACATATCTACATTTCTTAGAGGCCTCAATCTGGCCTTTACAGATTAATACCATTAATTAGTCTTCTTCAAGGTTTGGTCCATCAAAGAATCTGTCTTTTTATCAAGCTTTTCCCTCATATAAATTTAAGCAGATCTATAATGCAACAATATGTCAAAGCAGCTTTAACATTCTTCTGCTATTTTTTTTAAACTATAAATTATCATTTATCATTTATTTTATGTGTAAATATGAAATTATTTCAAAATAGAGCTATAAAACCTGTATTTTGTTATACTCTAACATTTTAAATTGTCTTTAGCAGCTTTAGCAAACAACCTAGCAGCACACAAAGCATAGTTTCTGTGTCTTTATTGATGAATTTAATTCCTTAATTCTGACATTTGCTAAAATCCCTTCTGTTATATACTGTATTTCTCACTCTGTCTTACCATCTCACATCCTGAATGAACCATTTTAATTGTTTTTTTATCGACTTTTCTTCTTCTTATTTCATTTTAAACACCTCACTGCTGTTAAATGTAGCTTTGCTGTATTGTTGCTTCACTCAGCAATGACCTGCATACCAAAAGGTGTTTATGAGCACTGCCTGGTAGTGTGTATATATCTGGTATCGTCACTTTTCTGGAAAACAATATATTTTTCATGTTTAAACAGACATGTTACCAAATGGTCTGCTGATTCTGTTTCTCTATGCAGCTCCAATACAAATTTATATACTATTAATTGGATAATTAATCTTAATAAACATTGAAGAAGGGAAGAAAGGGAAAAATGGTGCAGCTTTCTTGTCAGAGCTAATAATCAACAGATAAAGAACGATAAGGACACTATCCCAGTGAGTGTATCAGAGCAAATGTCCCTATATTTCCTCTGATTTGACCTCTAAATGCAATTAACAAAAAAAATAAATAAAATGCTTTTGAAACATGAAAAAAATTATCAGTTTGAATTCAATAAATGATAATTTTTTTTTGTATTTCCGATCAGAGATATACAAGTAAAACATTTTTGATTCTCTGGTGTATCACTAGTATTTTTATGTGATTGCTTTTTATTAAACCTTAAAGATAAACTATTTTTATTCATCATTGATCAATCAATCAAATGTGACTATTTAGTCATTCTAACAGATTTTAAGACAAAGGTCAATAAAAAGTTCACTTTCTTGTCTGATCTACTTGAAATGTATTTCTTTAATGTTTTGTTCTCTATAAAATATGCCGATTGATGCTAAATAAAAGTGAATTTTGTCATATTTCCCTCAGAGACGACTTCAATATCCAAGTCCTCCATGCGTTTGTGGACCTTCATGAATTCACAGATCTAAACCTGGTCCAGGCCCTGAGGTAAGATGTCTGCCTTCAAATGTTGACTTATTTGTAATTTGGAAAGACGCGGCTGTTAGAATCAGACTCATAAAGGAGCCTGAGATGAATCTGCTTTAAGCAGGGAATCAGAGCGTTGCTGAATGAAAGTGTGTTTTATATCAGGCAGTTCCTGTGGAGTTTCCGTCTGCCAGGAGAAGCCCAAAAGATCGACCGCATGATGGAAGCCTTCGCTCAGCGCTACTGCCATTGTAACCCTGGTGTTTTCCAATCCACAGGTAAATTTATTGTGTTTTCCAAAGACACAGATTAACATTTGTCCAATAAATAGCAGCTTGTTCAATATAATTAGCCTTTTACTCTCTAAAGAAGTCGATTGTGAGGAATTCTACAGGATTCATCTAAAAAGCATGCAAAAGGTGTCACCACAGTGCATAAAATATTCAGATTTAGTGCTTATTATCCTGTTAAACTGGCTCGCACCAATTGAAATGTATTTAAATAAGACTGTTAGACCAAGATGTGGTGGCCAGTTAAGGAAAATCATTTCAAAGCGGCTTCGTTTAACAGACTCCTTATCTGCTGAGCTTCTGGAAAACGACGCTCCCAACAGACAGGCGCCGACATGCATGCAGATGGAGATGAATATTTCATGTGCTTTCTCGAATCCAACGGTGCTTATAAGTGCTGCTGTGTCAGCCGTGCGCTTGCCGTGTCGTCCCACGGCTCATGCTTATTGCACGCTTAGAGACGCACATGCATGCTGAAGAGCCCACGTTCAGTGCGCCCACTCTGCTCCCAGACAGTGCTACATCTGTCCGCTCCTCTCCGCCTGGACGCATTCAGCTCGGATAGTTTGCATTCATATTTAATCATGTCATTATACTGGAGGATCTTTTTTCTGGTAAACTTTATATTAACCACCCCGTTAACAGAACGCCTCATTTTGTGTGTTCCAGACACATGCTATATCCTCTCGTTTGCCATCATCATGTTAAACACCAGTCTTCACAACCCCAATGTAAAGGACAAGCCGACTGTGGAGCGGTTCATCTCCATGAACAGAGGAATTAACGACGGAGGAGACCTACCTGAAGACCTGCTCAGGGTGAGGACAGCACCAGAACTCGGCGTCTGGTGACGCCTCCTTCTAACATTCTCCCTGTTGAAGTCTATCGAACGTTCTGTTTCAGAATCTATACGACAGCATCAAGAATGAACCTTTTAAAATTCCCGAAGACGACGGCAACGACCTCACGCACACGTTCTTCAACCCAGATAGAGAGGGCTGGCTGTTGAAGCTGGGTGAGTTGGACTACTCTAACTATCTCGCTCCCTCAGGAACGCCCTGACATTAGAGGACTTTATTTCATCAAAATATAGAGAATGACTGTTTCTCTCTTGAGGTCTACGGTCTGTGAGCACACATGCCTGTGTGTGATGATGAATGTGGGAATAGGTACAAACACCTGAAGGCCTCTTTGCCTGCTTTAATGTATAATAAATCAAACCAGAACAAATCGAAACATTTCAATTATTCAAGATCGTTTTAGAAACTGGATAGAAAGCACATCAATAGTTACTTTGGGGGCTTATAGAGCTGTCCAAAAGTAGACGGACCCTTTGAACCTCGCTATAATTTGTCCTGTTACAACCATAGACTTCCATATGTATTTTATGTAGATCTTTTCTAAAGATAAGCAAAGGTAGGACGCAGAAAATGAAAGGAAACAATGCTTGCTTTCAGAAGTTCAACAATCGTTTAAAAGTTCCACAGCTCTGGAACTGGTATACTTAGAGGTTTGAAATTTTCTGCAGCTATGGTTGACACGATGCAGAATAAATATAATACAATAACACATGCCTATTGTCAAGCATGTCTTTGTTACTGCTATTCAAAAAAGAGGTTTTATTTTCGAGAAGAAAAAGCCCCCAACTATGAGTCATGTTTAAAATGATGCAGATTCAGCTGTGTTTTAGTCACGCTAATTTAATTTGAAGGTAATGATGTAGCACACGTGTAATTTGGGCTTACAGTTCCTTAGTTATTTGCTTTTTCATTTGGGTCTGCTAAAAGAGGTAGAGTCAGGATGAAAGCTGTAGAGAAGTTTAAAGCTAGGTTATGTTACGTATGAAGCATTGCACACAGTGATGGCAGCATCATGATGTGGGCATGTTTTTTAGTAGAGAGGGGCAGCGTAGCTGGTCAGAAGTGATTAGAAGATGAATTCGGTTAATCCTGGCAGTTCTAAATAATTGGGTTTCAACAGAAATAATTTGGTATCTACATCTCTTGCCATAAATTACACGTCCTCTCTTTCTCCCTTTGTTTCCTCTGAGATATTTTTCAGTTGTTTAGGTTCACTGTGAAAATAGAAACCCAGTATCAATTTGGAAGAGAAAAAAAAAATCAGGCATTTACAAAACAGTGAATCTTTACAACCAACTATGATAAAGAAGTGGAGAATAACTTTCTCCTATGACTCTTAATGGGGAGAAATGAGTCAAATAATCATGGTGGAAGGGAATATACTTGAGATAAGTGAAATGAAACCAAGCAGAGGCGTTCTGTTGTTCCATGTAGTGCTTTACAGACGCCGTCCACATTGAGCGGAAGCGGAGCTCCCTCTTGTGGAATGGATCCTGTAAAGCAGTACATCCAAGCCTCACTGATTAAAAAAAAAAAAAAAGGATTGTGGTGATGTAATTACTTATCATTTAATTTGATTTGTTATGTTTTTTTCCCCCCTCTTCGTTTGTTTGTTTGTTCCCATGATTTTGGCTGTTGTCTTTCCTCAGGAGGTATGTACACCTGCTCTTCCGAAAAAAAAAAAAAAAAAAAGAAGCTAGTCCATCTCTCTCGGCTCTCAGGTGCTTTCGGTGGTCTGCCATGCTTTTTGTTTCGTTCCTCATGTACTGAATTAGACTCAAGGTTTAGTCACTTTTCGTCTCCTCGTCGGCTCATTTGAAATTTTCCAATGTTTGTCTCTTTTGTGTGTCAATGAGCTTGTGGTTGATTCTGCGCTGGGTGGTCACTGGGTGCATTTGCCACCTCACTGGCTCAAACTTGGGGAGCTGCTGTTTTGCGATCACTCTAGTGAGCAGCTTCTGTTCCTCTGTGTGCTCTGGTGGTCGTTCTCTTTGATCTCTCTGTTTGAAAGGTGCATTATACCTTTTTAAAAATCCTCTGAGCAAAGACCTTTCAGAAATAATCAAATGTTCATTTGAAGGTTGCTCTCTGGTTGCATAGGAAGGGTATACTGCATCTTTTCATTAGCGAAGCTCTGCTCTCCTTTTTAATGGATCTGAAGTGTAACAGTGTGGCTGTAGCCTGTTTTTGGATGGCTGGATTGGAATACACTGCGCGGGAAGAGCATCTATAAAAAGGATTTGATTTGGATTTCAAAAACAAACATAACTGTAAATGTAAAAGATCTGCAATAATTTGAGCTTCTCCCTCTCTGCAGGGGTAAAAAAACACGACCATTGGCTTGTAATCTAAAAGAAAACATGCTTCCTCTTGACCTCCCGCAGCTCTAATCTTTCATGGGTTACTCCCTCCTTTCCAGTCCAACAACATCCACGCCCTCCTCCTCCTCCCTCCCTTCTGCAACAGCCTGCTGGGATATTTCTCTACTTTCCAGATGCTGTTGCAGAGGGACTCTATCTATCCAGGAAATAACTTGGCTCATCAAGCCAACTCCAATCTGCAAACAGCTCGGTGAACTTTGCGATTCTGCCCGCTGCATCTGCCTTTTCTGTTGGTCTGCATTGTTTGTTTTTCTGTTTTTTTGTTTCGACGCGTGGCGAGGAGCCAATCGTGTCCTTCTCTGTCAGATGTCAGCAACGTCTTAGTATAAAGGTCATAGCAGGGAGATTAGTGGTTATCATATACAGCGCCTTTGCTGTTATATGAAGACAAAAGTGTGTTTTCAATGTTTGTGTAGAAATCGTCTCCAAACCTCACCTACTGGAAGATGACTTTGGCTGCACACCTTTTTTTTTCCACTAACAATGGTGGTGGGATTTTCTTGTCTAGACAAACAGGAAATTAGTTTAAGATGCCTTTAGAGAAAGCAGGTGTCAGTCCAGTCTAGCCTGAATGCTCCCATCTTAGCCCAGATTGTCGGCATCCAGTTCCTCCCTGTGTTCAGCCGCCCATCTGCTTCTGTAATCAGGTTTCCCCTCACAGGAAGCGTTGGTGACAAAGAGGCCAATAGGTCAACCGCAGATCAGTGAGTTTAAAGTTACCTACCATGTGCCCCCTGTGGCTCAAATCCAAATCCTCAAACATTTCTTATTTTGCTCAGTCAGACTGACATACAGCGTCCACACAAGGCATTAAAATCTGTTTTCTGGCTACTTAATATGCAGATTGATATCATTCCAAGTCCCCAAATGGGCTGTAAACTAAACAACAAGATCCAACCAACAAACATGAATTGGGTCTACTGATTTCATATACATTTAATTATTTCATTTAGATTATTATTCACAGTTTAAACACGCAGCTTCCATATTTTCGTAGCTCTTTGCTTATAAATTCCGGATGAGCTAAATGATGGGATGATAAAAGGTAACAACATATAATGTAATGTGTAAAGACACATTAGTGAAAACATTATAATCAAATGGTCGCATTAGAAGTATTTAGAGGAAAAACCAGGAGTAGAAGTTGGAGGATGCGGTTTATTCACATTGAAGAGAGAGTGAAATTCCCAGCAGATAACAGGAAGGTTTAGTAAAGAACAAGAAGAATGCAGTTTAATCCATTTTTTTTGTTTTTTTGCGACATAGTGGATTTAAAAATGCTACAGCATCTTTTTGTAAATCGTAACATTGAAGGAAAGTCTAAATTCCCTTTGTCTATAAAAGAGCTTTTAGGAGTTTCAAATGTTAACTCTTTACTCATTTTATCAGTGCATGTTTGTTTGTGCGTAAGCCGCTAAACTGATGCACTGATGCATCCCAGACTGACAGCGTTTAGGAGCATTAAGGTCTGGATTTAGCACCGTCTGGATATAATCAGACCAGATGTTACTTTCTTTACAATCAGATCTAGAATTAGAAATAAAACTTGTACGTATGCTTCATATTTGCAAACTTTTTAAAAATGCGTTTGTGTGGATCCACCAGATAAATGAAATGGGGGAGATTGAATATAAGCTGTTTTAGTGTAGTTTAGGATTTCTGAGGTAGTCGTTTTTTTTATATCCACAAACTCTAAATAGTGTGGTGAAGGGGAGGACTTGGTGTGGTTAACAGGAGTCCCTCGGAGCCGTCATCTGTCTGTCTGCCCATACATCCGTCTGCCTGTCTGCTGCTCCGCTCGGTGCTTTTGGTTCTAGTCTCTCCTTCTCCTTGTCTCCTGATCTTGCCGATCCTCTCTGATCGTTATTGTTTGCTCTGCAGGGGGCCGCGTTAAAACTTGGAAAAGAAGATGGTTCATTCTCACAGATAACTGTCTTTACTACTTCGAATACACCACAGTGAGTATCAGCTTTAACAGGTAGAGTTTAACTTCAGCGTGCAAAACATGGTTATTTATTAATTGTTTTTTGCAGGACAAAGAGCCCAGAGGCATTATTCCGCTGGAGAATCTGAGCATCAGGGAGGTTGAGGATAAAAAGCCTGTAAGTAGAGCACCCTCTAGTGGTGCATAAAGAGATTAAATAGGCTTTGAGCTTCACTGTCTATCAGATTTTATTTTTTCTGATTTGAATCTATTGGATTCTGATTTCTATTTTCTTTTGACAGAATTGCTTTGAACTTTTCATCCCTGACAACAAAGACCAGGTTATAAAAGCGTGCAAAACTGAGGCGGATGGACGCGTTGTTGAAGGCAACCACACCTTCTATCGCATCTCTGCCCCCACAGCAGAAGAAAAAGACGAATGGATGAACAGCATTAAGTAAGTTATTTTTCTCATTTTTTATTGACCTAAAACAAGAAAAACTAAAGTTTTAGATTAGGGAGTTAAATCTTTTGGGGTCAGGGTCTCTGTAGCTGTCTCTCAGTTATCAGAGCGCTACATCCTGAGGAGGCGGTTTTAGCCTTTTAAAGCATGTGCTTAGAACCAGGTCAAGTTCAAATGTTCCAGCAATCGAGCCGTCTCCAATCAAACCCCAGGTTTAGATTAAACAGGGTTTCCGCGGATCATTAAAAATCATTAAAAGTCATTAAATTATTATTTTTTTAAATTAAGGCCTTAATTGGCATTAAAATTAATTAAATGTGTTTATTGTGGCATTTAAAATGCTTTATTAAAAAAATTTTTATAAAAACAATTTCGTCAGACATATTATATCACGATATATTTGGGTGGAACTGCTTCAGGTTGATCACAAAGCTATATGTTCAGAAAAGAAGCTTGAGTCGGAGAAAAAGCTAGAGAATGGGGTGGAAAAAGCAAATTTCAACAAAAGTGGCTGGAAAACGAGCAATTCAGGACATGACTGCAGCCTGTCGACGGGTAGCTGTTGGTGGCATTAAAATTATTCCTAAGAGCAATATAAGAGCATTAAAAAAGCATCAAGTTAGAGTTATTCCTTCCTGTATAAACCCTGTTCAGCATGTTCATCAAGGGTCTGAATGGTCCAGTCAAAGCACAGAACCAGGTCCCTTTCACAATCTGCTGCAACTATAGAAAAATGATGTTCACAGCTGTACTAGCTAAATGAGTCTGAGTTTCATTACCAAGAACAACCACAAAACATTTGTCATTTGTGATGCAGATAGATAAATACCACAAAAAACTGTAGTTTGATATATATTGACTCAGTCTAAACGCAAATACATATTGCATAATCACAGCTCCTATTTTAATTTTTAATATTTCTAAAAAGTTGCTGTATTTCCATCTTATTTTATGACTTGGTTTCCAGCATGACTTCCTAACAAAACCTGTTGAAGTCTTTGTTTTTTTTTTTCTGTGACCAAATTTGTAAAAAGGATTATAACATCAATTAATTCAAACTACTTAGGTAGATGCATGGGTCTATAACAGCTTAGATTACAGACTTTCTCCTGCATCTGTTTTTCCACAGAGCTGCCATCAGCAGGGATCCCTTTTATGAGATGCTTGCAGCCAGGAAGAAGAAAGTGTCTTCACTAAAGAGGCACTAGACTTGATCGGATCCTCCAACGTTGCACTTGAAAGAGAAGAGGGGTCAGGCCGTCTGCTTCCTCTGCCCAGATCGTTGCAGAGTTCATGGTTGAGGTTTCCATCAGACCTCTCCAAGGAATTCTTCAAGAATCAGCTCTGAAACTCTACAGGCCAGAAGAAAACAGGAAACATGGTGGAGATTTAGATAATAGCTGCGGTTCAAAGCTTCCTCAAACCTTCTGTCTGAATGTCTCTTATTTTTTTTTTTTTCTCTCCAAGCTTTGGATGTTCTGGGTCTCAGGCAGGAAGGGAATCCTACAGGTTAAAATCCCCTTTAAGAAAAGCTTTAAAAGTCATTCCTCACAGTAACTGTTTATATTGGCAATATGTTTCTGTAGTCGCCTCTTGCACACTCAGCAGGTCTGACCCATGTGTGACACCAAAATGTTCCTCTAAGGTCTTTTCAGACACGCTTTAATCCACTGATACATCTTTGTTCTTCTGCCTTTGATTATATTAAACTGTTCTTGCTCCTCAAGCTGCTGAAGAATTTTTTAGATGGAGGGTTGGAATAGTTAGACATATTTTAGTGCTTTTTTTTTATTTTAGAAAGAAATTGTAGCTGAAAAACCTTCTGTTACTGAAGGACCTGCCACTCAGGAGATTAAATCCCAAAAAAACGAGGACCTCCTCACAACCTTTCTAAACTTGCCGGGATGGTGTCTGTTTTGAATTTGACTCTTTAAAAGTTGATTTTCAAAATTTCCTGCAGATTTTCATTTGAATGAATGTCTTATTAAAAAATGAGCATCTTTATCACCTTTTAGTCCTGAGGATGCCTGAAACACAGCAGTTGGCTCCTTTTAGGGCCCCCCTACACCAACATCATCTATCTTTGCCTCCTATCGGATCAGTTTGCTTAAATCTGAATCCAGAACATGTTTTTACAGGCGCTCATTCTGCAGATGACTTAACATCAGCAGTTAAGAGCAGAACAACCTTTAGCATTGTTAGTGCAGCGCTAGGCAAAACAATGCACCTCATCCTGAACACACCCACCCCTACGGTAGAATCTGCTGTTCATGATGTGGACTTTGTTTCTGCTTCTAGTTTGTATGCAAGTAGAAAAACCTGAGAAAAGGGCAAAGTTGTAGAGAAAAAGTCTAAGCTAAGAGAAACCAATAGGAAATTACAGTAAATTATTTCAGTATTGTCGGGGTTTAGGTGGAGATTTAAAAGCAGGCCTTCTACATGTACATCAGCATTTGTACCTATTTCCAGATGTCCAGTTTGGAAAAATCTCTGTTACCGGGTAAGATGGCGAGTTTACCCTTTCTATCACAAAATCAGATCAGTACCAATGTATAATACTGAAGTAATTTAAAAGTTAGAGAATGTTAGTGCTTGGAGCTTTTGAGAAATTGTGACTGGGAATTGCTGCTGGTTGGCGAGCCTAATGTAGTTTTCTTTACCCTGTCAAGCACATCTTTTTTTGTTTTTCCTTCTATGTAAATTTTTTATGATTAATTTCTGTGCAGTGTTTTTTTTGTTTTAAATAACCTCTGATTATTGTAAAATACTGTAAACTTCAGGTTGTTTATGTTGAAGCCATATTGTTAAAAAAAGATCAAACAAAAACATCTTGCCGTTGAAGCTCTAAACTATGCCTGTAAACGAGGGGGATGTACTCCATCTCAGGATGTTTTGTATGAAAACGGGGACAGGGCTGCAGCAGTGACAAATTGAATACACAATCATATATTGTAAATGTTTATTTTTTTTCTTTCCTTGTCCAAAGTGAATAATCTGCTCAGTTTCCTGTTTCTCATCCTCTCTGCTGCATAAATGCTTTGCTCCCAGAGGATTAGGAAGGAGCGCACAGCAGAGGGAATTCTCAACAGTATTGTTTTATTTATCAAGGTTGTACATATTTAAATAGACAGTGGACATCTAGTTTTGTTAGTTTTGTCTTTTTTTGTTGTTTTTGTTTAGTACACTGTCATAGTATTTCAGATTTCTATCGATGCCATTTACTCAATTTGAAATAAAGCCTCATTTGTCTCAAGTTTAAAGTCTCTTTTGGAACGTGTGCATTTCTAATGTTGTCCAGTAGGGGGCAGTGTAGGACCGTTTAGGTTGAGAAGCTCAGCGTCAGCTGTGAGCACGTGATTACCGTATTTCCCCTTTAGGGACGCCTTGAAATTGAATCACGCTCTCTTTTTCCGATCAGGCTTCACTCCAACCACACACGCCAAAAAAAAAAACAAAAAAACCAGAATGTCCCGCCTTCTGTTACCGTTTAAACCCAGCCCCTTTTTTTTTTAAACCGCTCCATAACATTTCATATTACCTCACAGGCTTGCTTTGTAAAGTATTTATGGCACAAAATGACGGCGCGCAGGGGAAAAGGTCGATATTTAATAGTGAATATGTATCATATTCAATGATGCCTGGAAAAGCAATCAATAGAGATGGCTTTCTCAATGGGGCAGTTGTGCTGGAAACATCCAGGCATAACTGTCACTGCGTGTAATAGAAGGCATGTTAGAAACAATGAGGCTGAAAATACATAAACCCAGAAGTTCTTTTTATGTGGTTGATTACGGCTGGGATGAGGTCAGAGAGATGCAACTATTCCTTTAATAAGAGCCTATAAAGGTCCAGCTGATTGCTGTTAAAATTTTCAGCATTTTTACCCAGTTTCTCCTTTTTGTCTACTGAGCAATGCAAGACTCACACTTAAAAAATGACATTAAAACTCATCTCAGTCTAGTTGAATAATCCCCCGTTGGAATTTAGGGGTAATTAAACCAACACAAATATTTTAATGCTTAAAGCTTTCAGGTTTGTTTTTCAAACCCATAGGAGCTCCACAAAAAGAAAAAGAAGCATTGCATTTTATTTTTTGTTCTTCTTTAATTATTATTAATCTTATTCAATTATTTTTATGTAAACATATTCAATGTTTAAGTTTTTAAACATTGAATATGTTTAAAAACTTAATTTCCATCACACCTTCCAAACTGAACCATCCAGAGAAGTGCTGTCTTCTGTCATGAAGAGTTTTTATTGAATCTAATCTGTTTTGTCAATTGTAAAAAAAAACAACTAATAAGATAATAACTTAAGATTTTTAATCCTTAGATTATTACCAAATATTCATACACAGTGTAGTTTGCATAGGTTTCGATTGCTCTGGTTCCTGTATCAGTGCCAGTAATCCAGTAATAGCTTATTAGTTCCCCATTGTTTAATTTACTTGAGCTGCAGAGAATAATTAATGAGCAAAGTTGCGAAATTATTAGTTTAAATTATATTTAAGATGCAAGTATTTGAATAGGGCCCATTCTGCTTTCAATTCTCTAAAAATCACCAGAATGTATAAAATAATGTATATTGTGTTAAAAATGTTCCACATAATTACAGACCACTTATTCTTACTCAGTAACATTGACTGTGCTCTAAAAATTCCACATTTTGCCGCCTAGTTTCAGTGAAATCCTCTGAAAACCTCCAACCTATAGCTGCACCTACAGTATCCTCATCTAACCCTGAAAAGTTTTCCTGTCCAAACTATTTCAAAATCTCACCCCAAAGTTTGGTAAAAAGTTGGCAGCCCTGAATACTTTAAATCCATTTTATTAGGGGGAAACCATCAAAACCTATCAGAAGACGTCTAGTTTTTAATATTTTTTTTTTTTTCGTAATATAAGCACTGAAGAGTGTTTGTTTATTTTAATTTATCTCCATTTCACTAGGATACTTGCATAAAAATTCAGATCAACCAATTGTCCTCAGAGATAAACTTGTCAAGAATTTGAGTCCAACTAATTTTTGGGAAATTATAGAAAATGTAAGGTTTAAAAGCAATAACCAAAACATTCCCTAAGATCTGTTCAGTCCATCCTCTGCAAACTTACCATGACATGAATCTCCACCTGAATTGAGCATTCAGACGAGGTTAGAATGCATGGTAAATCTGGAGGAGTTGTAAAGTTCCACAGCTCGTGTAGGATAATTTATTTTATAGAAACCGGTTAATGGTCTGTACTTATATATAACTGTTTTAATTCAGGGGAACCTAAAGCGTTTTACACTACATTCAGTTTAGTTGATGGGAACATAGATGGAGGTAAAACATGGAAAAAGAGGAAGAACAAACGATTTCAGTGGCTGAGAAAGACTTCGAACTGGGGTGGAGGTAGGATGCTGTTCCTCCATGTTGACAAAGAGCTGTTTCTTCATTGCTGATATCCCATGGTTCGTCATGGAGCCTGATGCTCTGAATCACATGGTCATGAGAATTAACGAAAGGATGACATTTCAAGATTGTGTCAGATCAGAGTAAGTAGAAGTAACTCGAGCAATTAGCAAAAGTACAAGAGGTTTCGTCATTCTTGATAGAAGTTTGGAAACACTAACATTTCTAGACGGGGTTTCCCATCTGAACTTAAGTAATCCAGGAGACAGTTCTTATGCAGATGTAGGTGCACCCCACATGAGAATGTGATGGTTGAGAGGACTAGAAAAGCTCTTTCTTGATAAAATAAATGCTCCGGAAATTATAAATATAAAAAGAAACAAATTGATCTGTTTAAGTTTCTCTAATATTTGACGTTTTGTCCAAAACAGGGTTGACACTCCATCAACATCAACCCCCCCATCCAATTTATAACCCCATTTCTTTTTAACGGAGTTTACTTTCCTTGCATTTAGAACTGGGAACACTTTCAAGAGTCAAAGGAAATAGGAAAACAGGCGTCAGGATTTGTGGAGCTGCATTTATGTCGGCCAAGAACAACCTAAAGTATAAAACCAGGCAAACATGGGAGTGGTTTTAAATAAAGCAATAAAAGGTGGAGGAGGCACAGTCTCCATCTGAAGCCAGCATGGCCGAGGAAAGACCTGAACCAAAGAGGCATGGACAAAAACAGGCATTTTCCAAGAAAGTTTAGGAGAGGCTTCCAGAGGAAATGTGTTCCTTAGTTTTTCTTGGAAAGCTGCTTTTGTTTCCAAAGGTGCCATAAGAAAATATCAAACATGATGGATGTGAAGGTGTTGGAGATTTTATTCAATAGCCTCAAGCATAAAAAAAAAACCTCCATGAACGCTGAAAAGCTTTCATTCAGCACTTGTGGGAGTTTATACTGCAAATATTTAAATCCAAAGCTTTATTTAGAAAGCTGCAAATGTTAACATGAAAAGTATTTTCCAGTTTCCTGTAAAACTCAAAGATGATGTTAACATGAAAGTACCTAAAAAAAAACAACAAAAATCAGCCTACTTTTTATTTTCATGTTAGTTTTTGCATGTCTTTTATTTAGTTAATGTCATATTTCATTTAAACCAGAGGTCTTTGAAGGATCTTGTAGTGATTGAGATGCAGCAGGCAAAAAAAAAAAAAAAATCTAACTCTAATCTGGGCTTGAATGGATCACAGCTTAAAATATTTTCCTATGGTCCATTGCCTTTAGCTTTTAGGGAAAATTATAAAGTAATTTTCTCCAGATGTGCGCTGAAAAGAGTGAGATTCCTGATTTGCATTTATGCATTTGGTTTTCAAATAAAAATAAAAGCTTTTTAAACAAGATTTAAAAGAAAAAGATTAGTTATTCATCTTTGCATCACTGCTTTTCAACAATATTTACTGCATCTCTGCTATGAAACAGGATGAAAGGGATGTTTATCAGAATTACAGAGCAAGCCTAAGGAGGCGACTGCGGCTGATGGGAAATGAGAGACACGCTGCTGCAGGAAGAGAAACACACCAAAACGTGAAAATGTGCGGTGGTTGTGAAGAAGTGGCAAAAGAGTGTGGGGGGGGGGAGTCTTTGTTTTTCTTTATCTGCATGTTCTCATAGCAGAAACACACAAAAAAAGGCTCTTTTTTTCTAGTGCGGTTGAGTTCTTTGTGTCGACAGGAACCTGATAAATGCCAAGTCTTGCACAAGAATGAGTGGAAAAACAATAGAGTGGTGTACTGCTCTGAAATGAAATCTGTGGAACAAAATGTACCCGAATGGATATGCAGAAGTAAACCTGGCCGTCCCACCTGAGATATTTGCTGTGAAAACATTTAGGACCTCGGTACTCAGGACGGGGCCTGCAGCAGCATTCAAAGGCCAGGCAGCAGGATTCTCCAGCTCCTCCTGTAAGTGGAGACATGTGAGAGCAGTCAGGTTCCAATTATGCCCAGACTGTTTCCCAGAAACCCTGAATTCCTCCCCCCACTACCTCTTGGCCCACCACTGCAGGGGAAGGGAGCACCCCACGGTGTCCTTAGCCGACCATTCTCCTTCATGAGCCTCCCTCAAACAAAGAATTCGACACACGCACAAA